CACCTGTCACACACCTGTCACACACCTGGACACACCTGTCACACACCTGGACACAGCTGGCCCCTCCCCCCCCAGGTGAGAGCTTTGACCAATCGTCGGAGTCGTGGGCGCTGCTCAGCCAGGTGATCACGCTCTGCAACCGCGCCCAGTTCAAACCCGGCCAGGAGGGCGTGCCCGTGGCACAGGTGGGAACTGGGACGGACTGGGAGGGACTGGGAGGGACTGGGAGGGACTGGGAGGGACTGGGAGGGACTGGGAGGGACTGGGAGGGACTGGGAGGGACTGGGAGGGACTGGGAGGGACTGGGAGGGACTGGGAGGGACTGGGAGGGACTGGGAGGGACTGGGAGGGACTGGGAGGGACTGGGAGGGACTGGGAGGGACTGGGAGGGACTGGGAGGGACTGGGAGGGACTGGGAGGGACTGGGAGGGAACTGGGAGGGACTGGGACCAAACTGGGAGGGACTGGGACAGACTGGGACCAAACTGGGAGGAACTGGTTTGAACTGGTTTGGACTGATTTGAACTGGTTTGAACTGGTTTGGGGTTTTCGTTACTGGTTTGTGGTTTCGGTTACTGGTTTGAACTGGTTTGGACTGGGATGAACTGGTTTGAACTGGTTTGGACTGGGATGAACTGGTTTGAACTGGTTTGGACTGGGATGAACTGGTTTGGACTGGTTTGGACTGGGATGAACTGGTTTGGACTGGTTTGGACTGGTTTGGGGTTTCGGTTACTGGTTTGGGGTTTTTGTTACTGGTTTGGGTTTTTCGTTACTGGTTTGAACTGGGAGGGGAGGTGGGCGTGTCCTGACGGCGGTCCCGCCCCCCCGCAGCGTGACGTCATCGGTGACGCGTCGGAGACGGCGCTGCTCAAGTTCGCGGAAGTGACGTCAGGGCCGGTGGCGGCCGCCAGGGGGCGCTGCCCGAAAATCGTGGAGCTCCCGTTCAACTCCACCAACAAATTCCAGGTGAGAACACCTGGACAGGTGAGAGAGAACACCTGGACAGGTGAGAGAGAACACCTGGACAGGTGAGAGAGAACACCTGGGCAGGTGAGAGAGAACACCTGGACAGGTGAGAGAGAACACCTGGGCAGGTGAGACAGGTGAGAGAGGTGTCCCAGGTGTACTCCAGGTTTACTCCAGGTGTATCCCCGGTGTGACTCACCTGTCCGTGTCTCACCTGTGCAGGTGTCGGTGCACGAGGCGGGCGGGCGGCAGCTCCTGGTGCTTGAGGGC